ATAGAGGGTGAAGATGCACATGGCCCCCGCCCCCCATCAGACTTTTTAGAGTTAAGATTTAAAAAGATTTTAAACAAACTGAAGTTAGCCTGTTTCATAATAACACTATTATTTCATTTTTTTTGTTTTATTAACGAACAAACTGGTTTGGTCTGGTTCGAAATTTTCACAGAACGTCTTGGCTCAATTTTACATGCACCTGTAAGAATTTAAGGTTTTTCTTGATTTTGATTTTTTTTTTTGCATATTTTCCATGATCTATAACTATCATAAATAACTAAGATAATCAAGATGAAATTTTTAAATTCCTCTGTCAGAGCAATGGGTATAATTGTCGTGGTAGAGTAGTTGCAAATCTAAAATATGGAAAAAGTATTGTATATAATCAGATTAAAAAACGGGGTTAAACCCTAATACTGATGGGGGGGGGGGGCAATTCTTCCCTTTTCTGCTACTTTGCAGTTACACTTTATGTTCAGCTGAACGAAAAATGGTTAGTTACTTACTTTTAGACAGGAAACAGCGATCTGAATTTCATCTGAGGAAGGTTAGAACCAATCAAAGACTCTCTTAGAGCGTCTTTTGAAACATGGAAATTAAATTTTATTTAATTGATTTTAATTTTTCTCAATTCAAATGACATTCTTTTGTAAAGAGATTAGTTAAAAACATAAGTAAGTTTTAAAATTAGCGGGATTCAATGCAAATGGGCGCAAAAACCAGCTTTTTATGAGGAATGCATCAATTAAACCCCCAGGGTTCTGTTTTTTTTTTCTCAGAGTGAATGATATCTTGTTCTCTGGTTGTTAAAAGTAAGAAATTAAATATTTTTTGTTCATTTAGACATAAGTATAACTGCAAAAGGGAAGAACAAGCAGAGAAGGAAGAGCCCCCCCCCCCTTCCCCTAGTAGTATTCTGAGTATATGTAATTTTTCAAATTTTCTTTAGCTTGGAATATTTATGGTATTTTACAATTAAGGAATGTAACTTCAAAACTGATACTTATCTCGGAAGAAAGCTGGTCAAAGCGACAAGAAAAAGAAGGAATTTGTCAACATACGATTCAGCCTGCTAAGACAAGTCCCATACATTTTCAAGACTTGGTGTCGACTTAGAAATTTCACAATTTGGCCGCTTTTTAAGATAAAAAGCACTTGTTTTTAGCTTTTAAAAATAAATCGACAAAATTTAGATGCCAGTGTTCCTGTTATAAGCATGAACATCAATCATAAAATCCAAGCATAGCGGCATAACTCAAATATCCATATAAATTTAGCTTGTGAGGGTGTTTGTTTGTTTGTTTGTTTGTATCCAATAAACGTCAATACGGCTGAACCGATCGGGCTCAAATTTTGTGTAAGGTCTCACGTGTCACCATGGGGAAGGTTTATGAATGATCAAAATTTTAAAAATTTGAGTTTAAAAGTTTTTAATTTTAATAAAATTTTGAAAATGCACAAAAAATATTATGAAATCCGCAACCTTTTTTTGTTTTTGTTTTATACTGTACAAAGAGAACATGATCAGAGATAAAGTCACAATTTAAAGTTGAAATAGAAGATGGGCGCGAAGCGCACTAAAAGCCTAGAATATGTATATTTGATTTACTTGCTTTTTTGAAATCAAAAAATGAAAAACTAAATGTAGAAAATACTGCAATCTTATAATTAATCTTGTTCTAAATTCACTCAAATTATTTCGGAACATCATTTATTGTAGCTGTAGTCTTCAACTTTTGTACAAAGTATCTACAAAGCATTCTTCAAGTTATTGAATATTGATTTTTATATTTTTGAACATTTTTGAAAATAAATCTAACTTTTTTGATCGATGGATATCCTTAAGAGATCTAAAGCACTTGAATTAAGTAAGTTATGACAGTTTGAAGTTTGCCATTTTCACTTTGTGGAATTTTGATATATAGACATATTCTAAAAATATTTATTATAGTTTTTTGGATGAATGAAAATACCAACTTGGAAACGAACAAAAAAAGAGTTTAAAGACATCGAAAAATATCACTTGGTAGTTATTTTTATCGTCTTCTTCTTTAAAATGTCTATAATTTTTCTACAAAATGTCTATAATTATCTTTAAAATGTCTATAATTTTTCTTTAACATGTCTATAATTATCTTTAAAATGTCTATAATTATCTTTGAAATGTCTATAATTATCTTTAAAATGTCTATAATTATCTTTAAAATGTCTATAATTTTCCATGTTTTACTCTAATTTTTACATACATAACATATAAGAGCTTTTATTCCCATGGTCTATCATATGCAACTTTGTTTGAATTAAACTCCAATGGGTTTGTATATAAATCTTAGATATTAGATGTATATAAAGGAACTGTAAGCGTAATGTTTAGTAACACTCCTTGCAAACATAGCAATGCCCGATTCACAACGATATCCTTATAAATATTGTCATATCAAGCATGAATTTTAAAAAATGATTTGTTTTAATTGTGGTTTTTCTACAAAGTGACTAGCGCATCGTTACTGCGGGAAATTAAATATATAACAATATTCAGAATTAAACACAGATAAAACTAGAAACAGGATAATATCTTCCACATTCCTTTAATGTATGTAAGCAATACATATTTAACTTTAATTCTCCTTTCCTTTATCTTTTTCTTTTTATTATAATTGGGGGGAAATATTCCCACAACCTATATTTGTGCAGGTTTTAAAATATTTTCTCCTGAAACACTTAATTTTGTATGGTTCTGTCATATTTCATAAATAAATAATTACTCACTCACACTGCATACACATTATTGATTAAGCTAAGGTTTCAAGTGTATCTTAGTGAATATGGCATTATCCAAAGTGATTAAATACTAAAGTGAACCAAACTCATAGTTGGATGACGAAATTTTATGTCCCAAGCATTTAAAAATAATATATATATAAATTGGTCTGTACGGAGTGCAGAGTCCAACAGAAACTGGACTCCCTTTGTTTACAAACACGTAGTTAGAATTTGTATTTAACTTAAATATAGATTAATGTAAATTAAGATTTCAGAAGTGAATTTTAGCCATTTTACTGCACAATAAATAATTTCAGACAGCACAATAATGCCTGAATACATAATCTGTAAAACAAGGAGTGCACAAATTGTGATACCGAAAATTGAAGATCTTCGAAATATATCTCTTGGTCTTCACTTTTGTATTTTGACAGATGTAAGAGTGGTTAAGAACTAAGACACACAGAGTGTCCCACGAAACATGTCATTTAATAAATCGTTATTTTTAGCCAAAAAACTCGTTTGCTTCATTATCTTTTACTTTGAAATCAATTTTAATATAACATGACTCCCATATAATATTTTTATTGGTCTTTGGTATCAAACAACTTAACAAAGACATTCTAAACTATTCACCAACTGTCATGTTTCGTGGGACCCGGACACCCTGTAGAAAAAGATATTCAGAGATGCGTATTAAGGTTTTTTCCCAGGAAGGGCTTACATTTCTTTTTCTTTTTTAGAAAGGGGGGGGGGCAAAATTAGAAGTTCCAGGCAAAAGCAATGTATTGATTAAGCGACTGTAAAGTATGTACATATAAACTTCATAAAAACATACAAAATCTTTAGATTTCTAATTATGAAAATTTCAAAGTTCTAACTTAAGACGACATTCACATGGGTCTTTAGTTTATTTTTCTAGCCTTTACTTTCTTTCCAAAAGAAATATTTTCATGCAATTATTTCCAAACCAAATAAAACCTTATGGCTCAACCTGTCGTCGTTGCCTTAGTCTGTTCCAATTTAGTATTTATTCACTTTGGGCATTATCAACGTTGCATGACGGACATATGCGGTTACGTGAACAGTCCCTTTAACAGTAGTGTAATTTCAAGTAACTTTTCATTAATTGCATAATACAACAATACCCTTTACAACAAGGCCACTCCTGATTAATAATCTGTGTTAACGATAACAAATATTGAAAAAGCTACAGTTGATATTTTAATCTTTATTGATGCACATTTATATACTTCTTGCCATATCACAAATTCAATGCCGATAGTTATTTAGTTAAATCATAAAATGGTTTTAATATAAATGCATGCTCTGACAATATTATAATATTTGCATGATATATGTATTATCTAGACCCTAGTTAATGATAATGATAGTATTAGATGGAAACAAATCATTTCTCAGTCCAGACTCCAGTTTGGCATGCTAAAAAACAAAACTTTTATTAAGTAATATTATTAATGATAATAACAACAACAATAATGATAATAATAATAACAATAATAATAATAATAATAATAATAATAAATGGAATGGAGTTTGGACAAATGGTTTGGTTTGCATTAAGGCGGATTCATCAAACTGTATTGGGTTTGGAAGAGTTTGGAATGGAGGTTGGACAAATGGTTTGGTTTGCTTTAATTCAGATTCTTCAAACTGTATTGGGTTTGGAAGAGTTTGAAATGGAGTTTGGACAAATGGTTTGGTTTGCTTTAAAGCGGATTCATCAAATTGAATTGGATTTGGAAGAGTTTGGAATGGAGTTTTGACAAATGGTTTTGTTTGATTTAGATGGTTTGGGGTTGGCAAGGTTTGAAACGTAACTCCCTGCACTTGCAGAGGAACTAAATGGTAAAGAAAAAATCCATTTTGGTTTCTCTCATAGTTGACAGGTATAGGATTAGGTAATGATGGGAGGATATTAATTGCAACTTGGCTGTCTTTTATCTTCTCTTCAAGTTGAGGAAGGGTGAATGCTGTGTTTAAGGATAGAGGAGCTTCATCTTTTATCTGTTCCTGAGCTGTCAGCTTTCCTTGAAATTCTCCAGTCAATAGAAAGGTTTTGAAATAGTTGAACACCAATTCTTTAATAGCATTCTCCATTTCATTGGAGAGTATTGCTTGAGGTTTCACCACAGGGATATTATTTCTGCCTTTAGATATTGGAAAGTTAAAGCCAGGACTCGTCGGATTAAATCCTGCAGTATTTGCTCCAGGATTAAATATGGATCCTCCAGTATTTGAACCAGGATTAAATATGGATCCTCCAGTATTGGCTCCAGGATTAAATATGGATCCTCCAGTATTGGCTCCAGGATTAAATATGGGTGGCTCCAGGATTAAATATGGATCCTCCAGTATTTGCACCAGGATTGAATATGGATTCTCCAGTATTTGCTCCAGGATGAGATATGGATCCTCCAGTATTTGCACCAGGATTGAATATGGATCCTCCAGTGTTTGCTCCAGGATTGAAAATGGATCCTCCAGTATTGGCTCCAGGATTAAACATGGATCCTCTAGTATTGCCTTCAGGATTGAATATGGATCCTCCAGTGTTTGCTCCAGGATTAAATATGGATCCTCCAGTAATTGCTCCAGGAGTGAATATGGATCCTCCTGTGTTTCCTCCAGGATGAGATATCGATCCTCCAGTATTTGCTCCAGGAGTGAATATGGATCCTCCAGGATTGAAAATGGATCCTCCAGTATTTGCATCAGGATTGAATATGGATCCTCCAGTGTTTGCTCCAGGATTGAAAATGGCTCCTCCAGTATTTGCATCAGGATTGAATATGGATCCTCCAGTATTTGCTCCAGGATTGAATATGGATCCTCCAGTGTTTGCACCAGGATTGAACATGGATCCTCCAGTGTTTGCACCAGGATTGAATATGGATCCTCCAGTATTTGCTCCAGGATTAAATATGGATCCTCCAGTATTGGCTCTAGGATTGAATAAGGATCCTCCAGTAGTGGCTCCAGGAGTTAATATGGATCCTCCTGGATTAGACCCTGATCCTGCAGGATTAGTTCCTGGATTAAACCTTGATCCAGAACTCCCTGGATTTGTAATGGATTCATTTGGTATAAAATCTGGAATACTTGGGTTGGAACCAGAGTTAAATCCAGAGCCTCCTGTTGCTGAGTCTTCAGGATAGGTGATCGATTCATCAGGAATTATATCTGGTCGTTGATTATCATAACCTGGGTTTGTTATGTCCGGATTATTTCCAGATCCTCCTGGATTTGTAATGGATTCATCGGGAGTAAAATCAGGAATTGATGGTTTGTTGCCCGGGTTATATCCAGATCCTCCTGGATTTGTTATAGATTCATCAGGATTAAAATCTGGAATTGATGGTTTGTTGCCCGGGTTATATCCAGATCCTCCTGGATTTGTAATGGATTCATCAGGAGTAAAATCTGGAATTGATGGTTTGTTGCCAGGATTATATCCAGAACCTCCTGGATTTATAATAGATTCATCAGGAGTAAAATCCGGAATGGATGATTTGTTGCCCGGATTATATCCAGATCCTCCTGGATTTGTAATAGATTCATCAGGAGTAAAATCTGGAATTGATGGTTTGTTGCCCGGGTTATATCCAGATCCTCCTGGATTTGTAATGGATTCATCAGAAGTAAAATCTGGAATTGACGGTTTGTTGCCCGGATTATATCCAGATCCTCCTGGATTTGTAATAGATTCATCGAGAATAGGTGGTTTATCTCCAGGGTTGTATCCAGACCCTCCTACTTCTGATTCAATTGATCCCCTGGATTCCCTTGATGATCGTTGTTTGACATCCTTTTCATAGATTATCAATTTATCAGAAATAAGTGTTGTACAAGTTGAAACTAACCCAAATAAAAAAGTGAGTTATGAACTTGAAATCAAATTAAAATGCAAACAAATTACAAATCACTCTGCATATCTACACAGAAAGCCATATCAAAACAAAAAAGGTGCACTGCCCTGTGGAAATTGAAAAACAGAAATTTTCTCATGCAAATATGTTGAAAATGGCATTATTTTCTCAAAACATGAAGTAGACTTTTAAATTTTATTTGGCATGCGCCATTTCGATAATAAAAAAATTTTCACACATAAACTACATATTTCACCTTTCCCCCCCTCCCCATTAACAAAATTCATGAGACGCGCCACAGCACTGATTGAAAAAATTTAAAATGATAATTTCCTTGGAGAAAAGAATGTCGCCGCTGTCTGGAGGTTTACATGAAACCAAACCAAGTAATGTTGCTAAAATTAAACTTCTGTGCATGCCTATCATGCACGTTGTGAAGTTAGTGTAATGCTGCACCGATCTAAACCCACTGACATTTTTATAGAGATACCCGTTTAAATATTATTCAGTAGAAGTTGGAAGTTGGCTGAAGATTGTGTCATGGAAGAACCAGTTTTTATGTTTACTTAACCGACCAATGTAAACAGTGGGTTGTCCAGCATGGGATTTCCTGGCAGAAAAATGTAAGAACCATATGCGTAATAAACATATATGGATGGAATGGGCAGTTTTGGTTTTTTGAAAAACTATGGTTGTCATTTCTCTACAAATTTTCCAAAATTTAATAGTAAGAGACCGTTTTCAAAACATTTTTTACGATGAAGGGATTGTTATTAATAAAAATGTTGACAATGAAACGGCTCTGAACGATAAACCAATTTAGAAAATATGAAAGTAAACCGGAACAAGCCACCTTTGTTTCAATCTTCTGGTAGCGCTTGACCCAATCAGGATTCAGTCGCGTGTTTGGTGTCTTTTCTCAACCAATAAAATTTGCAACGGCGGTAAACTCTATCTTTCTATCTATCTTATCCAATAAGAGGTGAATTCTTAAATCGGAGCTAAACAGTAAACGGAAATACGTACTTCTAGTAAAATTACAGTGTTGGAAATAATTGTAATAAAATAGGAAGAATCAGTGGTAAACAGGAAGGAGATGAAATAATATAATACGTACTTCTAGTAAAATTATAGTGTTGGAAATAATTGTAATAAAATAGGAAGAATCAGTGGTAAACAGGAAGGAGATGAAATAAAGAGGAGTTAGCTCGATCGAATATGAGGTAGCAAAACAAATGCTAGATCTAAACAGGACAGAGCTGAAAACCTTTAAACGGAATATCCTTAATCCTGATCGCTTAATCTGAGTACACACTTTTGATTTTATTCTTAATCCTCTTTTTTGGATATCCCTACTGTATAACAGTTACATTTGATAACAATTACAGATACAATGCTATATCGATTGAACTAGTATCTGATTGAATTAAAGCTGTTCACAAGCCGGCTTTAAGAGCATTTAAGCAAATATAAAATTAATCATGTTAATAACAAACATTAATCCAAAACTTACGTTTATTTAATCGATGTTTAGTTCAATTGATATGACAAAATGAAAAAACCGGTTTTTCAAAAGTTAAAGAGTACATCTTAACATGATACGCTGATTGGGTGAATTTTATATTTCTTTCTTGGATATCGAATGCGTATTAAAATAATCTCAGATTTAGTAAAACCAGGAGTTTACGCATTAATCTTGATATCCATCATTCTAAAGTTTTCAGCTCTGGAGACTAATAACATGAGGAGAAAAAGCATTATTTAATGGGGAGATTAAGAAAAAGAGAGGATCAAGCACTAATCTCGATATCCACCATTCTAAAGTTTTCAGCTCAGGAAGTAGTTAGCTTGAATGAGAAGAAGGAGTAAATCCATGATATATAAAAGAGCTTGATTAGACAGGAATCACAATTTTAATTAAATATTCTCAGTGATCACTTAAATTATAAATTGAGTTGAATAAAGTTTCGGTAATTAAAATTAGAACCTGAAGGATTTTCTGGAAGAATGGAAAATCTATTTTCAAACTTTTAAGAGATTAAAAACTATTGGTTTTCTTTCTCATCAATTCAATCAAGCATTTCATTAACATGAATAATAGTTAATAAAAATAAAAATGTTGGTGAAATAAAAGAGTAAGACGAAAAGACGTTTAGAAGTTGTTTAATGTTTATTTTACAAGGAAATTACTCCGCATTAGTCATGTGTTTACATAAGCAACAGTTTACTAACAAGTGAGTAAACAGTATTTTGCTCCCGACAAATTGTATTTATTCTAGTTTAGTTGAAAGAGTGTACCAAATTAAAAAAGATATTTAAGTTTCTTAATAATTGTTTTTACTTTTTTATATCAGTTCTGTTTTACATTGTAAGCAGTAAGTAAACTTTGCTTGTTTTTTTTCAGTTGGATGATATTTTGGATTGTATTGTGTTTACACCTTTCATGTCCATCACGACAACATTACTTTTTCAAACTTTTATTTTCTTACAAATTATAATTAACAAAAATCGAAGAAATGCCGCACACCATTTTGAATAAATCCGGGAAAAGCCAAGAAAATGTGCTGCACGGAAAGTTATGGCTCCATATTATACAAGATCTAAAGAAGTTTGGTATAATGGAGACGGCGTTATCGTTTCAAAACATGAGATTGATCACGAGGTAAGTTTTAAGAAGATTGATATTAAATGTGAAAATACTTTTAGCGGGACATTCATTATGATTGAAAACAACAGAGTGTTTGATTAAAACTGTAAATACATATTTATATATTAGGTGTACTGGGACATGGACCGGGTAATGATAGGAGTACTCTACACAATGGGACTAGTCCTTCTTTTATGGTGCATCACATTCACTATTCAAGGAATTATTTACTGGAGGGTTGGAAGGGTTTTAAGTGCAAAAGGTAGTTTATTAATTATAAGATAAATCGAAGCTTGTTTTTGTTTCTTGGCTTGTTTTTGTTGGAGAGAAAAATGTAAAACTTTGTTATCGCGAACTAATTAGTTCTTGCAAAGCAATTTGGTTTTCTTCCTTTTACTCTATTCTTTTAACAATTGTATTGTATATAAAACATTAAAAATTAAATAATATATATTAGTTTTTACGTTTTTAATTATCGACTTTTAAAAATAGTTTAAATTATTCAATTATTTATGTTTATTTCTTCCTTACTTTCTATTGTATATTAATCAAACATAGTAATCGGAGCATGTATGTACACATACCATTGTATAATCTGTTTGATCTACCAACATCTATTTATATTTGCCCTCTGAAATTAAATTTGTATGAAAGACGCCACAGAGTTCTCAACTTTGTTTATTTGTTTGTTGGTTTGTTTTAAGATTTAAACTTTAAGTTTCAAATGGGATGAGATACCTTACTCTAATATATTCTTTATTTTTAAAACCTTGGTGACACTTATTTGCTTGTGAGCTGACGAAGGCGTCAAAATGTCAAGTTAGGAAAAGGTTTTCCTCTGCAGTTTAAACAAAAATAGTCAATTTTAATTTTAGCTTTAAATTCTGTTTGAAGTGACAGTAAATATAGTTAACAAGCAAAAAAGGCATATTTTGAATATGTATAATAATCCAGTATTATGATATGGTCAAGGCACGCCGGTGCTTATTTTATTATAAATTAATGTTTAAATTCTTGTATAAAGGATTTAGAGAATTAGAGTATATGCGTTTATTTATTTTTTTGTCGGAGGGGGGAAGGGTCACCAATTTAAGACAATGCTTCAATCAACGACGACCTATAGCTTTTGAAATAAAGGTTATACACATTTGATAAGGGATTTTGAATTCAATAATATCGTACGCACAATTCAAATCTGATAGTTGTTAATCCGTCTATGAAATCTCAATCTTTGTGGGCAACCCTGTACAATGTACATCTCGTTAATATTCAGTTCGTGAAAGAGGATTATTAAAGTAGAAAGTAAAAAAAGGGATATTGGAAGAAAAAATAGTAATGATGATGTCAAGCTTAGGAAAACATATATACAAAATGTTTGTTGATCCCAGAATCTATTCCTCTATGTATTCTATGGATGGTTTACCTCGGACATACTTGAATCCCGTCTAATTATACACTAACTAACCCTGACAAGGGATCCTTACTAATCAGGATAGATTCCTTCAACCATCTGATCTTAGTCATCACAATAAACGCAATTGTATTTTAACCTTTTCTTTAATAACTAATTTTGAACTTTTATTCTTTAAAAATAGGAATTCCATACAAGAGTTTTATTTATAGTTTAGAAGAACTAATGGAAATATTTTGAAACTTCATATTTTAGGGAAAGATTTATTGGAGGGTTTGACTGGAAAAACCAGCCTGAAACTAGAAAACCTGGACGAATCTACAAAAAGTGGTTGTGATGATCAAAACTTATAAAACCATCCCTTAAGATCGGGTTAACATAGATGAGACATTAAATGTTTTCAGGTTTATTTAAACTCAAGCCTGTAGAAGTGCTTTACTCAATTTGTACTCTAATGTGATAATTTAAATGATGTTTTATCAACACATTAAAATATGACGACATCCTATTTATTGTAACGATTTCTTATTTGTATAGAAATAAAATTGGCACGATGGCTTTTGAGATTTTTAAAGCTTCCAGAGTGATCTAAATATCTTTTCTTTCAACAATAATAAACAGTGGTAAGCGATAATACCAATACATTGAAGACGACTTTCGGTCTCAATTTTGATTTGTATTGAGCTTTTAAACAGCATACCTACACAAATAAATGGAAACAAAGCTCTTAATTTAAAGGCTTCTCTTCAATGATATTTAAACTTGTAATTCAAAAAAAAGCTTGTTAACAATAAAACTTGAATTTAAAAGTCGTCTTCATTATATTGATATTATTGCCTACCAGCGTATATAACAATGTGGACTATTGTATTCCTATGTCTGTCAGGTGTACTTGATGTATTAAGTATAGAATATATACTTGAATTACTGCAGTGCAGAGAAATGAAGTAAAGGCTAGTTAGAATACTAATCACACTTCTAAATACAGTTAATGGTTAGAGAGAGGTTTACTGTTTCTTGGCAAGGAAATTACCCACAATTTACCTTCTCTATTATCTACACATTAAAACCACTACAGGTATATGTTATTAAGGACCATCTGTGATTTTACTATGAAACCTGTTGAAAAAAAAATACATAGAATTTGGATAAAGGTTCCCAAAATTCAAATAGAATTAGTTTTTTCTTTTAAATTTTGATTTTGAATTGAATCATTTAAACGATTTACTTCAGCCAATTTACTTGTGATACAAGTTGTCATTGTACTTCAAATAATGTAAAGGGTGACAGTATCAATATTTCCCTCAAATATTATTTCATTTTTTACCCCTAAGAAAAGATTCCAGCTCTAACCTTTACTTAAAAACCGGTAATACGGGGTTACCCATAAAGGATGAGTCTTTAGTGACGACCCAAAACTCTAAAGTGTTGATTTCATTTTTAGCCTTAAAAAGAATATTGTAAAAGTATAAAAAAAGATTTACCCAAAAAATAGAAAAGACTTATAGCTCCAAGGAACTATGAATATATTCTGTACAGTTGTGGTTTACCCTCTGAATACAGTTTTTCTGAAATCTGGTTTGTAATCATGCAAAACTAAAAATATGCCAATATTTCCCCTACAAAGCAAAACTATTTTAAAATACCTTAAAAAATGAAAACTAAAAATATATTTCAGCAATCTGTAGTTTAAGTGTGTTTAAACTCCCTGGATAACGGTATAAAGTATATGTAAGGATGGAACTATATATATAAATAGACTATTAAACTAACTTATTCCTTGAAAACCAGGCTTACAGCAGACTCAGTTAAATTTTATACAAATATCAGAAATATTTATTGTTCTAGGCATTGTCTTTTTTAAGTTTGTGAGTTTTTCCTCTTTTAAAATAAAAATCCATGTAGTTTTGGTTAAAATGAGTCTAAATGAACTCCCATGTTTAGATTCCTAAACTGTAAGCTCCTAGCTTGTAAATCTGGTAAAAGGAAGCAGAATAGTACTCCGAGAGATTTAAAGCATGACCCCCTACAGTGAACAGTGTCAGATCCGCCTACTTAGATTTATTTGGACCCCCTTCCAACAAACTTGAAGTAGAGAGTACAATATGATACAACAAATTGCCAAAATGATCAATAAATTTCTTTTTATTACCCTTGAATCAAATCCTCTTTAAAGGGAAAATCCTTCCCTACATTTTCCACTTTTTCTTCGCCTTTATGACTAAAATATCGCCATTATTTTTAAATTTTAGCAAGGTTCAGGTTGCGTAAATATTCTTTAAAGTAATCTTGTCTAGCATAAAATGTGTAAGTGCTGGTTTGGGTAAGCTTTTCATTGGAGAAGATCAAGAAGTGATGCATGCTATGCCTTTTTAAAACTTAAAACAAGCATGGGGGGGGGGAATTGGTTTTCTTAGTTTGGGATAAGGCAATAATCTAACTTGCAATAGAATATATGAATCAATATTGTTCCTCAAACAAAGATAGAAATCAACAAATTCTAATATGCTTTTAATAAGTTTTCTCTACTTCCTTACTTCCTTAATTTCTTACTTTCTTACTTTCTTACTTTCTTACTTTCTTACTTTCTTAATTTCTTACTTTCTTACTTTCTTACTTCCTTACTTCCTTACTTTCTTACTTTCTTACTTTATTACTTTCTTACTTTCTTACTTTCTTACTTTCTTAATTTCTTACTTTCTTACTTCCTTACTTTCTTACTTTCTTATTTTCTTACTTTCTTACTTCCTTACTTTCTTACTTTCTTATTTTCTTACTTTCTTACTTTCTTACTTTCTTACTTTCTAACTTTCTTACTTCCTTACTTCCTTACTTCCTTACTTCCTTACTTCCTTACTTCATTTTTTCCTTACTTTCTTACTTCCTTACTTCTTTACTTCCTTACTTCCTTACTTCTTTACTTCCTTACTTCCTTACATCCTTACTTCCTTACTTCCTTACTTCCTTACTTCCTTACTTCCTTACTTTCTTACTTCCTTACTTCCTTACCTCTATTACTTCTATACTTACCTCTTTTTCCAAAACGAGGTTTGAGTCCAAACTTTAAAATTTCTTTTTGAAATGAAATCAAAAGCCATCAAGAATTGAAAATAATTCTTGTTTAATATTTAGATTTATTTAAGTTTGCAGATGGTTTTTTCTTCTCGACTTAAATAGAAAAATAGAAACAGCTAACTTTGCAAATTTGGCCAAAACCTAACATTCAGTGTCAGGTCTGGGCCAAATCACGGGTTGGAACTTACTGCCCCTGAATTTCTTGTTTTCTCTTTGAAAGTTTTCATTTTTAATTTCGGTTCACATCAAAAGTAGTTTGCGGATTTATTCATAAGAGAAAAATGGAAATTCAGAAAATTGTTGGTATTTCAAGAAATAAAAAACTACAGTATACAATATACATATAGTACACTCTATACAAATGCAGAGTCACTTAAAATTACGTCTTAGTCTTTGTGGGTTACTCTGTTTATAGTAAATGGATGATCAGTTTACTGCATGGCAAGATGCAACATGCATGCGGTAGAATTTAGAAGCACAATAAACAAAACTTACGTGTCCATTCATTCTTTAAACTCTATTTCCTGAGATGTGAACATTAATTCTTTTTATATCTGTTTCTCTGTCAGTTTCAAAAAGTCTGTAAAACTTAAAAAAACTGTTTGATCTGAACCCCCTGCAGACTCAACTTTCAACTCTAAAACATGAATAGTTAATTCTATTCAATATCTAAAAAGCAGGGGAATCACTTTCAGACTTTTAAAAGTAAAATTCAGAAATCATAATCAGCATATATCTTTTTATTTACTTCTTTACGTCTGGACAATGAGTTCCTGTTTTTGTAACCAACAAACTTTAAAACTGTTGAACAGATTAGGCTCAAATTCTGTCATGGTAACCCAACATGACCCCAAAAAAGTTTTCTGTTTCAAAGCCGGTTTATAGAATATAAACTGCTTCAAAATAATTTAAGAAATCCAACAGAATAAAATCGGAAAAATCTACGAACTTTCAATGTTATAATTTTTCAATGCACGAAAGACTTGTAGCAAGATATAGATAGCTAGCTTAGCATCAAAACTATAATATTAGTGGTTAGCTTTTACCAAAATTATGTAAACCATAATCTATATATATACTTTGCTTGTCTGTCTGTTTGCAATTGTAATCAATAAACGTCAAGACGGCTGAACCGATCAGGCTCACATTTCGTGTGTGACCTCACATGACCCCAGGGAAGATTTATGAATGATCAAAATTCCAAAAATTAGTCTCCAAAAAAAATCGATTTTCATAAAAATTTTTAAATTTCACGAAATCTTTTAAATAGTTCCGCAAACTTTTTTGTTTTTGTTTTACAATATAAACAAAAAGAGAAAATGTTTAATTGAAACAGAAGATGGGCGCGAACGCCCTGAAAGCCTTGTATTATAAATTTGCCTTGTCTTTTAGTCAGATATAATAAATGTCAAATTGTCTAATCCCAAAAAGTTTGTTTGTGGACCGCGGTTTTATCATCGAAAATATCGAAACAAATAATTCCAAGTTTTTAAACTTAATCAATAAAAGAGAAAATATGCTGACAAAGAAAAATTTTATGTAATCGTAATAGGAAAAAGAAATGTCTGCATTTCTAGCTTTTTTTTAATATGTTAATCTATCTGTTTGAAATGATCTCTTATTTCTATCTATCTTATATATCCTGGTTGACAATGTGTATCTGTGTGTGTCCAAAAACCTGCTGAATTATTAAATAGAAAAGTTAGTTTAGATCAGATAATAAATAACTCATCTGTCAAAGAGTTATATTTACAATATCCTCACGGATAGAATATCAGACGGAAAACTTTTCACAGGTTTAACTCTATCTAGCTGGTCCGGGAGGGGGGCTGGTATAATTTTAAAGGGAGTGACCAGCAATGTATTGTAGTTGAACTGAACGATTTTTTAAAAGTTATGAAGTAACGACGACAAAAAATGTACGAAATTTGTTTACTATTTTCTCAATAAAAAAATGTTGGAATCAATTATTTCTTTTTCATCATTATATTGAATTTCTTATTCATTATGAATTTGTCCACAGATTTCTTCAAATTCTTCAAATATCGTCTTTCAATAAAACTTCCAAGAAATCTACAGAAAATGTTAGTGAACAATAGATATTACAGAAACTAATAACTGAATAAGATTACTTATTTTCGATGATAATCGTTAAATTTTATTTTCTCAACCTGTTCTTGAACAACAAATTAGTTTACTGTAGAATTTTTACTACAGTTTTCGTCGTTGTTATTGAATATTTTTTAAAAACCGATTCTCAAACTCGTCCGTCCAAAATGAAAAATATATGAGGATTTTAAATATTGAATTTGCGCTCTCGCTGAACAAATATGCACCGTAAAAAACGTTTTATATGTCTCAAATGATTTCAATCCTCCCCTAGCTCCGCCCTTTAAAACGTACTAACTTGATATCTCCAAATAGGAAGGGGATCAATACCCTTGCAGATCTAGCCTGTTTTATACTCAGGCTGCACCCATACT